CAGGTCTATCCTGCTGGCTGATGGACACACAAACTTGGCTTATGGACACACAAACTGTCTCCAACACTCTATAAGCTTCAGGAACTGTTTGGCCTACTACTTTTTTATGGTTTTGTTTGCTCTGGTTTGGGCTTCTCCACCTATTCTGATGACCCTGGGTGTAAATGTTCTCAGTTAAATGAAAGTTAAAGTTTGTGCTAATTGTCTGTGTCATAGTTACTCTGGGGGTATACACCATGGAAAGTTAATTTCTCTTCTGTATTGTGAATGGATTTGGGAGGATTACAATTTGCAGGATTTGGATGTTAGAATTTAGAAGACCATCATTATTCTCTAAGGACTTCTGTATTTCTTTGTCAACTCTTGAGAATTATATCCTGGGGTTTTGTTGTTGTTTTATTCTATTTCACATTATTGCAGACAGAACTAATGGTAGCAATGGCCCATCAAGAGTGACTGCTGCCAAGATGCCAGCTGCAGCAGGGAGGCTGACCCGGACTTCCCATGCCACTGCTTGGGCAGGAGCCTCGCCTTCCCTAGGAGCCACTGCAGCTGCCCTCCCAGATGCAGAATCCAGACTTCTCTGCAGTCTGCACCTTTGGGGACCCAGAAAGGACCCCATGCCACCATCTACACAGGCTCAGGGATGCCTGCCCCCACTACCTGGCCTCCTCCTGCTGTCTAGACAGTCCCTCCTACCACATTTGCAGCAATCAACAAATGCATCTTGGGGACTCTGGGGTCCATGAGTCCACAAGGTGGTTACTGGAAGCCTCTGTCTTTTTACTGTATCTCCCCTCTCTTTTCTGGATTTCCTCATGGTTCCCACTGTGAAATACTGAAGTGGCCACTCCCAGCAGGCCCTCCAAAGTACCATCTGGTCCCACAGCCCATTTCTGCAGCCCCCTCCTGACATCAGGGGCCACCTGTGTGATTAACCCATCCCCTAGAACCAGCTGTCCCTTAATCAAATCAGGAGATGGAGAATCACACTTCACCAATGCCCCTCCAGCCCCCTGATGAACTCCCATCAAATGTGTGACTCCCATCAAATCCCTGGTCTACCATGGATCGCTCAGTTCTATTGAGAGGCTGGACCCAGTCCCTTGTAAGCCTTCTAGTGTGCAAACCTAAAAGTGTTTCCTCCTCCTTTCTCTCATTTTATCACTGGGGGCTCATTTTGGGCCCTCCAGTGGTACTGCCATTCTTCCAACTGGTCCTCCAATGGTACTGTCATTCTTCCAACTGGTCCACCAATGGTACTGCCATTCTTCCAACTCCTGCCCATCCGTGGCCCTGTATAAGATATAAAGTTCATTTCCAAACTTCTCTGCCACTTGCAGGATTCCCTGCTTTTCAGTGGTGGTCAGGGTTTGACTCAAAAGTAATATGAATCCTTCCAGGAGAGCTCAAACACTTAGTTTAAGTTCTAGAAAGCCTCTATATACCTGTCAGGACCATCTGGAAACTTGCCAAGACCCCCTTTAATTTGAAAAGGGAACCTGGACCTTAATGGTGCCATATTCACCAGGCATCTGTTATTGGAGCAGTTGAGACTGGGACCTGCCTAAAACAAAGATTTTTAGACTGGGGCAAGCTTAAGAGAGAACCCGCATAGGAAAGAGCAAAGGAGGTTAATTCCCCTGCTGGAGGCACCTCTGGGGTTTGCTTCCCTATTTCCCTGGGACTTTCTCTTGCAGCCTCTCCTGAGATGTCCACTAGGAGGGCTTAATTAATCCTACAATCTTAACAAAGGTCCGAATTGCCCTGCAAGGCAAAGAAGGCCTGCACATATGGGACCTTGGACCATTTGCCCTCACATTCACAGAACAGATTTCTTCCTGAGGCCATGTTTCTGTTTGATACTTCAAGGTGCTTGACACTAAGTTGACAACAAAGGAAATGGCAAAAACATGTTTGCCACAAATTTATGTGCAGATGCCAATGCACAGTTTGCTTTGTCTGTGGTGTTCTTAACTTTCCATTTTATACTTTTGATGACTAAGCCAATTCCACATTCTACCCAGTAATATCTCTGGTTTGCAACAACATCTTTAACATTTAACATTGTATATAAAGAAGAGATGGGAACCTTGACAACCACAAAAGAAAGCAAGAAAGAATGATAGGAAAAACTGAGGTCCAAGTGCCAACACCCTAATGGGCACTCGGAGACTGGAGTTAGTCCAGAGGCCTTTGGATAACACAAGATGTAGCCTTGGTCAGATACCCTCAGTTGCGCCAAGATTTTCTTTCAGTCCTATGTGACAGCTAGATATTCATGAAAAGAAACTGGATTGAAACAAAGCCAACATTCTCAACACCTGAGGGTGATGGAGGATTGACAATGTCCTCCCCAGAAAGTCTGTTCTCCATGTCTTGAGTCCTGGTAGCTGTCCTAGTCGCTTTTAACTGACTGACAAAGGTCCAATATTTTTCTTTCATTTTGACTGTTGTGGAATTTAGAGACTCCAAAAAAAGGACAGTAAAAGCAGATCCACTTTTATTTACCTTTCCGCAGACCCTGGATGAGCCCCCAAAATGTTACAGGATCTTTGGGGTATTGCTTTTCTGGCCAGAAATGTATGTGGCTGGTGGTGCCTTTGTCTGCTCTTTGAAAAGGTAGGGCCACTTCTGAAGATGTCTTGGTGGTCACCACCCCTGCCATATTGTCATCAGGATGGTGGAAACTTCCAGGACCTGCTCTGATGAAATCTCACCTGGAAACTGTGAAGTAAAATTTTTCCTTTTTGTGGAGAATGGGGTCTCACTATATTGCCCGGGCAGGTCTCATACTCCTAGGCTCAAGCTATCTTCTTACCTCTGCCCCCTTAAAAGCTGGGATTTGAGGCATGAGCCACCATGCCTAGAAACTGAGTTCCCCCAAGGCGCAACATCTCAGACTCATGCCTGTAATGTCAGCTCTGGGCAGTGTTGACATGCCAGCCACTTGTCATCTCAGCACCCTCCAGGCTTTGGGCATCCATGAGTGTAGAAAGGATAACCAAGGAGGGTGCTGAGGGTGTCTTGTCACTGACCTGCAGGTGCCCATTGGTGTGAGCAGCCTGGAGGCTATGGACAGTACTGGGAGGCAGACAGACTTCTGGAGGGGAAACAGGGTGGGTCCCCAGTGAAGCCCCACCTTCAGGCCAGTAAAGGCCTGAAGCCTGGCGGCCAGACTGCCAGTCCTGCAGACCAGACTGGGAACTTGTGGTGCCTTTTCTGGACCCACCCATGGTTGTCCATGGATCAGTTGACATGTGCTTCCTCCCCTCTGAGGCCCATAAAAGCCCCAGGTTCAGCCAGAGCAGAGAGGATGGAGAGATGATGGGGTGGTCACCTGCAGAGAAGGGCTACCTTGTCTGCTGAGAAGAGGATGGATCAACCAGAAACAGAGAGGAACTACCCTCTCTACTAAGTGCTAAACACTTGACAGGTTGACCTGTTGACAGAGAGGACCTACCCACTGCGGGTCTCATCTGAGCGGTTCTAACACTCAATAAAGCTCCTCTTCATCGTGCTCACCCTCCACTTGTCTGGATACCTCATTCTTCCTGGATAGAGGACGATAACTTTGGCAGGATGCCACCAGCCACAGAGGTTTCTGATCAGAAAAGCAACACTCTGAAGATCCCATAACAGAACTATGATATTGCCTCCAAAGCATTATTTACCAGTTCTCATACTATTTGAAATGTTATATATCACCCAAATCCTCAGGATATACATTTATGTGCATCTATGTTTGCATATTTATATATATCTTTACAATTTCTACAAATTAATAAGAAAAATAACCCTTAAGAAAAATATGATCAAAGAAAATGGACAGTAATAGGTATAACATTTTCATAATTCTTTATTTTTTAGAATTATTTTGTTCTTCACATATATTAAGACTTTCTTCTAATTTTTAATATTTTTACTATAATTTATAAGGACCCATGAATTCTCCCTTGCATTAATTCATTGAAGAGAAGATTTGCCAGCTATGTTCTAGGCATAGTTCTAAGATTATAGGGGACAAACATTTTTCACTTTCTAAAGTCTTCCTTACACATAAATACTTCTTCATAAAGATAAACCCAAGGAGATTCATTACACAACTCTAAGTGGCTCTATTTTCAGGTTATCAATGTGCTGATTTTAGACAAATTGTGATTTTTCTAGTTCGTCGAGCACTTCAGATATGTTTATACTTTTTTATAAAACGGTGAATAATGTAAAGGAATTTTTGGTTGGAAAATAATACAAAATAGAAAAGAGTAAAATTTTTTAAATTAGGTTTTCACAAATCGTTCTGACTCTCATTTTGCCTTTGTGTAGTACATGAATTATTTCAAACAGCTAAACTACTAATTAGTAGATATCAAGGAAATGTTAATATAATACCACAGGATTCGCCCTGATTTAACAAGAATTATTGGAAAAATAAGCAAAGCAATTGTAACCCAGAAGCTTTCAAACATATGTTTGGATTTACCCCACAACCTTAACTTCTTTGTCACTTTTCTTTACTCCACCCAGATTCCCAGTTAAATATTTTCAGTTGACATCTATTCTGAGATTAGTATTAGGTCCATAATTCTGCTTTTTTTCATTTTCATTATGCTACAATAGGAGAGGTAAATATTACCTTACAGTTATACCTCACTGATGACAGTGGACTTGACTGTTTTTCTATTGGGCTTTTGTACTGTTTCTCATCAGAGGCCTGTTTTTTTACATTGTTATGACCAAAGTTCATCTTTTTTTCATCAGTAACTATGAGGCTTGCTTTTAATTTTTATTTACTCACATTAATATAAACCACTGCATTGATCTTATGTTTACATATTAATTAATGATCTGTGCCAAACTTATGTTTGAAATTGGGAACAGAATTTTAATTCAAACATTTGAAAGATAAGATTTTACAAGGACCTGACTTTTATATATCTGATAAAGAAATATTTTCATCCAAAACCAACTGCTAGTAATTCTGTGCCTCTTTTCCACAGAAAAGAATGTTTAAATTTCATCAAATGAAACATATTTTTGAAATACTTGATAAAATGAGATGCCTGCGAAAACGTTCTACAGTGTCATTCTTGGGAGTTCTTGTCATTTTTCTCCTTTTTATGAACTTGTACATTGAAGATAGCTATGTTCTGGTAAGTTTTGGAGGTTAATTGTCTTTTCTTCAAAATAAGGCATAAGTCAAACAAGAAATAGTCCCACTGTAACCTAACTTCAGTCTCAAGCTATTGGAGAAGACTTAGTTTGAGCAAAATTATAACATGTATATTGTCTATTTTTTATATTAACCATACATCAACATTACACTTGTATTGAATTATTTTCCAATATTTTTAATGCTGTTTAGTTTGTGCTCCAAGTGTGTACATATAATTACAAATAAGTTAGCTATCATCACTATGCAGAATTAATATTATGTGGAACCATTAAGATTTTGGGTTTTCCATTTGAAATGTATAGAATGAACAAAATCTGCTTAGAAAGTATTACTCCTTGCTTCCTCTACTTTTCTATGTTATCACTGAAATTTTCAAAATTCCATTGTCTAATTAACAATGCTTTTTAATTGTGCTATTTGTATAAGTAATATTTTATTACAATGTGTAATATCTTATTTGGATTTTGAATAGACCTAGATGGCCACTCTGTTTTATATTTATACCCACTGAAAAGATCTCAAGAGATAAAGATATTGATGTGTAAATTATTCAGTAGTTAGAATGAGATGCCAAATATTGGTAGGTGATTACATATGAATATGTTTTTTTAGGGAAAATATGACAATATGCAAAAGGGCTTATTCTGACTAATTATGAAAAATTAATGTGCTAGTTTTGACTTTTTTCTTATTGTTATTGTCACATCATTTCATGTCTGATAAGATTAATATAGACATTATTGCTATTCACTTTTTCTATCTTAATGGAGCCTAAAATATCTGTCCTAATTTGTATGTTATTATTAATATTTATAGATTTCAGAAAATCAAAACCTGATTACAGTTTACATATTTCAGAAATCAAAACCTTTACAACTAACAGGAACTAAAAAGTGATTTTCACATGCAAAAATGCTGAGAGTTTAAATTAGTGTCTTAAAAGAGACAGAGTATTTCCAAAAAAAAAAAAAACTTTAGATGATTTATTAACTATTGTTTGCCAGATACTATGCTATATCCTATGATCCAACCATATTTTTTGGTTGGTACAGATATTCCTAAGAAGTCCTCTGTAAAACATCTTGCATCCTTTAGCTCTGTTCTTTGATGGTGAAATTGTGCCAGAATCCTAGATTTTGACTTTGCCTAGGCTTTTTGTCTTCAAATAGCGGTTCTGATGTTGTGGACCCTTCGTGTTTCTCTACACATTCGATGCACAATGGTTGAAATCACTAAAGATTAAACAGGATTTGAGTAGGCATCATTTAGGCAAACTTAGCAAATAGGAGAAACATACTAACGTTATACTTTTTTGAATATTTTTAAAACCTATTAGTTATATGAGATATAATAAGGACAACAGAACAAGGCCTATGTGTTCTTGCTATTTTTTTCTTAAGATAATGAAAGATCACAAGTTCACTAGAGATTCTCTTGATTAATGATTCAATTTTATAATAAAAATATATTTTTGATTCTGTGTCTACAGGTAGAAGTAAATAAAATCTTGTAAATCAAACACATGTTATTGGTTGGAGGCTTGCTATGTTCAATGACTCATTGAATTTAAAAGGCAGTTTCCAGTGCAATTTTAATCTTTCACTTTCAACAAACCCAAAGGACCATTGAATGTGCAAAACGCCCTTGTGTCTTTTGAAATAGAACCTGTTTAAATTCACTGTAAAATGAGTAAGAAGTAGTAGAGTATATGTCAATTAGAAACTAAAATGCTATTTTCCTGTTTTGCAAATTTTTACAGTGCTATCTAAACATTGGTCCTAGCCATCAAATGTAGATAGTATGATTTAATGAAGCAGCTCTTCCACTAAAGCTACTTTCTCAATGAAATTTCTCTGATTGTATTAGGAATATATCTACTCAAATTTGCAAATCAGTCCAGGTGCAGAAAACAGATTGCTTCTTAGCTTTTAAAAGTTATTATTTTAAAATACTTACAAAAGTTGGAAAAAATGAGTTAAAATGATTGCTAAATTCCAGCACTCACCCCTTTTCTGCGTTTGATGATAATATTTTTATTATTTAACAATGTACTATTTACTGACTGATGTTTTTTAACCAAATTGCATTTTAGCTGAATTTTGCTTCAAGGCCATAAATTGAAAACTTTTTCAATGACTAATATTAAAGTGCATTATAATTATTCTTCTAAAATTGAATAATATCCATGGGAAACTGGCCTCCTCCAAGAATATAATGCAATTTCTTTTTAACACATCTCCCTTTTGATCTTTTACCTGTGTTTATTTCATTTTTTCATAAAATTATCTGAACTCATTTTTCTTCTTTCTTCCCGATTATCACAATTTGCTAATAAAAATATGCAATTTGCTAAGCACAGACATTAGTAGATCTTTTTTGTCTTCCTTTTTAAACACTGGGAAATAATACTTCTAACTTGTAGATATCAGGTGGATAGTTAGAACTAGCAAGGTCTCTGAAGTTAGTTAACACATTCTATTCTCCTCTTTTTGTTAGAAAATCCATTTGTGGCCTGAAACCCTAGGCATATTAGCAGTTTAGCTTATTTGCTTATGTATTAGAGATATATGTGCCTTTAAGTGAAAAAGGAAGCTGTGCTTAGTGTAAGAGACAAACACCGTTACAAGGCAAACTAAGTAGAAGAGACACTGCATGCCCAATCAACTTAGCCTCTTGGCTGTGAACATCTTCAAAGTAGCCACAAGGGTATATATTTAGTCTGTAGCTAGTTCATTGAATTGCATTCCCTTCCAGAAAATGATTGTCATAAAGCCTTGTCTTATTACTGAGAAATATACTACAGCATAGTAGCTACAGAAAGAAGGTATCCAGGGAGACCCTGACTGTTCAGGTAGATGCCTCTGGAAAGCAGCCAACAAGGCTGACTCAGGTAAAAGTTGCATTATTTATTTATGCTGAAAAGTGAAAAAAGCTTGTTCTTGAGAATTTAATAAAGTGATTTCATATAAGTTCCATTTCTTTTTATATTCTGTTATGTCCTTAAATCAGGCTGAATGCACTCCATCTTATAACACAAAATTTCTAGATTTTATGTGTTCAGGATAGAATTTTTAAAGAGATATTCAATATCCTGCACCTACTTTAGAATGTAACATCAACTAAGAACAGAATGGTAAAATGTGCTGTAAGTACTGTACTTTTTATAGAAATTTCTTCCAGGCATTATTAATTATGTGCACCACTACATTACTATTAATGATACTAAACTGAGTCACTAGTTACTTTTTGGCAGTTCTAAATTTGTTTATTTTAAACTTTAATGATGTTTTATAGGTTTGCAGGTAGACACCAATGAAAATATTTATGTATAAAGAACTTAAAATAATCGGAATTCAGTGGATAGTCAATTAGTATATTTCTAAGTAATTTAGAATCTAAGGTTTAATCTCAAGTACTTTGAAAGTTTATGGCTTTTACCCACGGTATTGTGTAAAAGCCACACAAAGTCACACTTTTACACATTGTGAACTTTATAAAGGACTAAAGTATTTCTTGGTCCAAATTATCAGAGGCAGTATAAAATAAAGAAATACACTATTAAATACCAAATTTAGATTTATAAACATAACTGGATATACAGAAAAGATATTCAGAATGAATCTTGATTTAGTAAGGACCATATTGGAAGCCTGTAGTTAAGATCCCTACTTTCAGTTTTCATTCGAAGAATAGTCACGTCTGGCCATAGATTTGAAAGTTTGAGTTAGTCATCTTTTTCACTGGCACTTGAGATTGATGCGAAGTATTGAATGTTTTCGTTGTAAAACTTATATTGAGCTTTGTCTAATTTTTTAGAACAAGGCTTTAGTTAACATTTTGACCACAGAAAAAAAATAGCAGGACCAAAGTTATTTAATCCATTTACTTTCTCTACAGTCTTAATAGCTAGCACATGCCTAGCTTGACTTTCTATACTGAATAAAATAAATCCACATAAGGCCAGGTGCGCTGGCTCACACCTACAATCCCAGCACTTTGGGAGGCCGAGGTGAGTGGATCACTTGAGGTCAGGAGATTGAGACCAGCCTGGCCAACATGACGAAACGTAGTCTCTACTAAAAAATACTAAAATTAGCTGGGCATTGTGGTGTGTGCCTGTAATCCCAGCTACTTGGGAGACTGAGGCAGGAGAATGGCTTGAACCCAGGAGGCGGAGGCTGCAGTGAGTCGAGATCATGCCACTGCACTCCAGCCTGGGCAACAGATCCAGACTCCATCTCAAAAAAAAATTGATTAAAATAAATGAATAAAACCACATACTAGAGTGCACATTTTGGAAAAAAAAAAAAAAAAGAGAGAGAGAGAGAGACAAACATTTCTTTCTAATTAAGTTGTTCTCAAACGTATTCTGCCAATTCTAGTAAATCACATATGAGTCAAACAAATAGTCATTTTCTTAATAGTGTATGACCAATAAAGGCTTGATCAAATGATGATTAGATAATTAAAATTTACCATTTAGCTTATATCAAAGAAGGGCAATTAATAGGTAAAGGACATATTTTAATCTGAATATGAGTATGTTTTCTTGACTATAAACCTTCCTGAAGATTTAATGACATGCAAAATCCAACACCAAATAAATAAAATGGATCTAAAATATGAAAGGATTGGGTATTACATCCAATAGAATCTCTCTCACACACACACACACACAAACTATCATGAGAAATATTAGTCTTGGATCTCTACACATTACCTTAATTTGGTGCAAATGTGTCCTATTTGAGGTTACTTTAGGACATATGAAAAAAATTACTGCCATATCACCCATAACTAGCTCTTCTCAACAGATAGATAGTAGCCACATAAGTGACTTATTTAATAAAGTATCCAAAATGCAAATATTATGTCCACTACTGCATCTTCCTAATCATTCCTATAGTTTTATAATCATGGAGACACTGCGATCTTTTTATCTGAGAGTGCTTGAAGAAGAGTAAATCAGGCAATATGGTAGGAACTAGCCTTAGATTAAACTATAAAATAGGTTACTGTCAATTTTGAGATCCCTAAATGATTGTCAAAAATTTGAAAAGTAGCATAATGGCAGTGGGAGTTTTCATGTAGCAATTCTTTTTTTTAATAGATTGCCATTATTAATGTGTCCTGTAGAAAAACAAGTGTAATTGTATATACAGTAAAATAGGCGAGCAAGCTACTGGAGCAGAACCTCCAGGTAAAAAATGAGGTGAGTGATGATGAGCTATAGCTTATGATGTCAGTAATTGAGATTTATATAACCCTGCATACTATATATTGTAGTCATACATTTATTGTGTAAAAAAGAAACTTTATTTAATCCATGACCATCTATTATTTAGGTATTTTTCTTGCCTCTTTCTTGGCATTTAGGAAGGAGACAAACAACTTATAAGGGAAACATCCACACATCAACTGAATTCAGAACGCTATGTTCATACTTTTAAGGATTTGTCTAATTTCTCAGGAGCCATAAATGTCACCTATCGCTACCTAGCTGCCACACCTTTACAAAGAAAGCGTAAGTATCCTTAAACATTTAAATAAAGAATACAAAAAATATTTTGCATTAAAATAATAATAATTTGTTTCACATGTATAGTAAAAAGGCTTAAGGGCTTTACTCATATAATAAATTATTTGGAGAAAACTTCAATGTTTCTTCACAAATTGTCAACTACTATACTCACTGACCCAATACCCTTAATAACAAAAAAATTAAATAAAATGCCTAATCGTGAGTCTTTTGAGATTTTGTTGTAGGATGTTATAGAGTGACTAGAAAAGAATCAATTTACTTTAAAATTTAGAAGGTAACTTTTAAAAATTGCTATGTTCATATTGCTACGTTTTCTAACCTCTAACAGTTTGGTTTTATGACTTGTTGCAACTTTCTAATTAATGAAACTCAGTGTTTTAGTTTCCTAGGTCTGCCATAACGAATTACCACAAAGTGACTGGCTTTTAAAAAAGAGCAATGTATTCTCTCATGGTTCTGGAAGCCAGAGGTTGAAATCAAGGTGCTGGCAGGGCCCCACTTCCTCCCTCCAAAAGTTCTAAGGGAGAATCCTCGCCTCTTTCAGCTTCCGGTGGCTTCGCTTCTGGTACTCTTTGGCTTTGCAGCATCACTCCAATTCCTGCCTCCATCATCAGTGGTCTTCTCTTTGTCTTTCTGTGTCTTTTCCTCTTTTTGTAAAGACACAAGTTACTGATTTTAGGGTCCACATCTAAATCCAGAATTATTGCATCTCAAGATCCTTAACTAATTATATCTGCAAAGATCAAATTTACTAATAAAATTACATTCTGAGGTTCCAGGTAGACATGAATTTTTGGAGGAAACTATTGAACACACTACAATCTGGTAAAAAAAAATATATATATATATATTTGGAGCCAAGAAATGACATACTACATTTCTAAGACACCATAGCTTACAAAAAGTACCATTATCTAGTTAGCATACCACTAAGAAAGTATAAGCATTACCAATTTTAATTATAATGCTATTGATTGCAATATGCAGCCTGATTTTTAAATGTTTCAATGCGTAAAATATAAATCTTAGGCTGGGTTTGGTGGCTCATGCCTGTAATCCCAGCACTTTGGGAGGCCAAGGAAAGTGAATCACTTGAGGCCAGGAGTTCAAGGCCAGCCTGGCCAACATAGTGAAACCCTTTCTTTACTAAAAATACAAAAATTAGCTGGGCATGGTCGTGTACACCTGTAATTCCAGCTACTCGGGAAGCTGAGGAGGCCGAAACACCAGAATCGCCTGAACCTGGGAGGTGGAACTGCGTTCCATCCTGGGCGACAGAGCGAGACTCCATTTCAAAGAAACAAAAACAAAAACCATGAATCTTAGAATAAAATACAGCGCTATCATGATCTTAATAAATTATGTGGAGACCACAAAAATTGGCCTCTAGGTTGAGGAAATTGTTAAATTAATTTAGATTTCTTTAGATCTCATTTCCTTTCAGTCTACCATTTGAAATGTCTACTGTTCTTAGGCTTCTTTCTAATTGTCTAAGACTGCCATTCATTTTTCATCTCTGTTACACCACCTTGGCTTGAACATTACTGGTTTCCCTTTCCTGTGCTAAATTTACCAATGTTTATTGGCACACATGCCAACTGCTTTCTACCAGAAGCAATGTAACACAGAGGATAAAAGAGTGGGACAGTTTGAATCCTGACACAACATCACCTACTAAGTGTACCACTTTGCATGAGTCACATCATCTCACCATGACCTAGTGTCCTCATCTGTAAAGCAGAATGATGGTAATAGCAAACCTACCCCAAAAGAGAGTTTTGAACATTTAAGAAATGTATTACAGATAAAATGCCCAAACTCCTGCCTCTTATGTAGACAGTATTTCATAAGCATTGACTATTATTATTAATGAAGTTTGGTGGCTTCAAGTTTAATGGTACTAGATAACATATTGTGTTTCAATAGAAGTCTGAGTTGTAAGCCAAGGTATTTAAATGAAATGTGTAAATCACAACCTCTCTGATGAACTAGTAAGAATTCTTTTTTTGAATGGGACTTTTTTCAGTATCATACAAACCACATTATACAGGTGCCTGTATTAAAACAATGATCTTGTTGTATATAGATTTCCCCATTTTCTAAATAGTGGCTTAGAAATGTTATTCAATTCTGATTCATATGGGTATGAGCTTTAAAAAATATTTCAATAGAAAAACTTCTAACCCTTCTCAGAGGAGAGCTGTCTTTTCTCAGGGTTTTATTTTATTCTCTAAATATATCTAATTCCTAATTTTAGATTTTAAATGTCTGAATAAAAATTTATTCAAGCAACATTACTATAAAATGTGTTTCAAAAATTTTTTTAAGTGATGCTTGTGTCTTGGAACAATGTAGCATTAAAGTTTTTTGAATGTGTCTTATAATATTGTTTGCTTTCTAATTAATATACTAAGTACATTTCAGGATAAAATTGTGAAGTCCAATTATGAAGTCTAGTACAAGATAATGAGAGCAAAAAAAAAAAAAAGAAAACTGAAAATATATGAGGTGTTGTATAAAAAATTTAAAGATGATTGAAAGACTTACCCTTATTTTTATTTTGTATCATTTGAAACTAGTTTGTCAGCCTTAACTGTGAATACTCTTCTCTTTTTGCAAAAGAGAAAAAGCATTTTATTTACTTTATTTTTAAAAGGAACTTGCATGCTATCTAAATACCTGTCTACCTTCTCTAGTGGGCGTATATAAGGATATTAAGCTGCAGAACACTTAAAACCATTTCGTTTTACAATTTCATCAATAAATGTTCACAGTAATAGGACTCATATATTATTATGCTTAAGATGCTATTTATTTTTCATAGAAAATATAAATTATGTATCAAGCACTTACAGCCTTTATATATTTAGCTTATTACTTTAATCATAAAATGTTCTGTGCATAGTCATTTACTATATTTACTTAATACATAATAAGTAGCAAGTCTAAGGAATAAATATCTTCTCTCTTTTTTCTTTTTCTGTATTTCTAGTTCACATTTGTATTCTTTCTGAAATCTTTTTTGCAGGGTATCTTACAATTGGACTTTCTTCAGTAAAGCGAAAAAAAGGAAACTATTTACTTGAGACAATTAAGTCAATTTTTGAGCAGTCCAGTTACGAAGAACTGAAGGAAATTTCAGTGGTGGTTCACCTAGCAGACTTTAATTCTTCCTGGCGTGATGCCATGGTCCAGGATATTACACAGAAATTTGCGCACCATATTATTGCAGGAAGATTAATGGTTATACATGCCCCAGAGGAGTATTACCCAATCCTGGATGGCCTTAAAAGAAACTACAATGATCCAGAAGATAGAGTCAAATTTCGTTCAAAGCAAAACGTAGATTATGCTTTTCTGCTTAATTTTTGTGCCAATACTTCTGACTATTATGTAATGCTTGAAGATGATGTTCGGTGTTCAAAAAATTTCTTAACTGCCATCAAGAAAGTCATTGCATCCCTAGAAGGAACTTACTGGGTAACTCTTGAATTCTCTAAGCTTGGCTACATTGGTAAACTCTATCATTCTCATGATCTCCCACGTTTGGCACATTTTTTATTAATGTTTTATCAAGAAATGCCTTGTGATTGGTTATTGACTCATTTCCGGGGTCTGTTGGCTCAGAAAAATGTGATCCGTTTTAAACCATCTCTCTTTCAGCACATGGGCTATTATTCATCATACAAAGGGACAGAGAATAAGCTAAAGGATGATGATTTTGAAGAGGAGTCATTTGACATTCCTGATAACCCCCCTGCAAGTCTGTACACCAACATGAATGTGTTTGAAAATTATGAAGCAAGCAAGGCTTACAGTAGTGTTGACGAGTACTTTTGGGGGAAACCACCTTCAACAGGAGATGTTTTTGTGATTGTATTTGAAAACCCAATTATAATTAAAAAAATTAAAGTAAATACTGGAACAGAAGATCGACAAAATGATATTTTGCATCATGGAGCACTAGATGTTGGGGAAAACGTTATGCCTAGCAAACGAAGGAGACAATGTTCTACTTACTTAAGACTAGGAGAATTCAAAAATGGAAACTTTGAAATGTCAGGTGTGAATCAAAAAATTCCATTTGATATACATTGTATGAGGATATATGTCACCAAAACACAAAAGGAATGGCTAATTATTAGGAGTATTAGCATTTGGACTTCTTAGCCAATTAAACCAGTATGTTCAGTTTCTGAAACAGGTCTTCCTGTTTCCTCTTTTGCTACCGTTGTCATTTGGAGGGAAAGCAATGGATGGGATATGTTAAAAGAAACATTAATTACATTGGTAGTTTTCATTTATACACTGTTGACATAATTTTACTCTTAATACACACTTGTATTTATTTTAACGTCTGAAGTTGAATATAAGTCTATAGCTAATGCTATTTTCCCTTATATTTTTAAATGCTCTTAGTTTTTAAATTTCAACTGATTGTCAAAAGGGTAATATGAAAAATTTTAAATCAACAAATTAGTTTGTTGGATGATGGTTTTTGAAAATTAGTCATCAACTGTATATACTTCCTCAAGAATCGATAATTCATTATATCATCAGATAGCTTTTATTAAGCATCTGTGGGAATATACAGTTGGGTGGAATGATAATCTGTTTTTTTGTGTGTGTGTAAACTTAGGTTTCCATTGACTTCTGTACGTCTACAATGAATACCTCCTCATAGAAGTGGTGTCTTTACAACATATTTTTTGTGTAAGTGAGGCTATGGATAAAGAAAAAAAAGACTTAAAAATATCTCTCCCCTGATTATTTATATGAAAGGGGACATTGTTCATTGTTTAAAAACATTTAATTGAGCGCCTATTGTTGATAAATTTTCTGGGTGAAGCTGTCTTTTTCTGGTTTCCCTTTTGCAAAAAAAAAAGAAAAGAAAAGAATAGTTAAGCTCAATATTTTCAGGTTACATTAAGTACCCACATTTAATAGAATAAATTAGGGAAGGCCTATAGTAGTTAGCTCATTCGTACAGACATTTTCAGTATATGCAGAAAATTTTGGGAAATTGATTTTATACATTTTGTATTAAAATCCATGTGATTGAAATTATTGCGATTTATCATATACTTTTTTTGGAATTTAAATGGGTATATTATAAAGGACCATAGAAAGTAATTGACTTTTCTGGAATCAAAAATCTATTTCCTAGCAAGGCCAGAATGAGAGATCTGATATTCTGATAACCAGACAATGCTCTTTTTCTCATATGATTTCTCCTGACACAGTTTATGCTTTCTGTGTTCTATTTGCTATGTGACTCTCAGATAATAAGTTATACCATCTGGAAATAGGTGGTACAATTCTTGCATAAATAATATTATCCTAAATAATGTCCTAAATGATACTTTTTTGGTATATGCACCCAAATAGTAAGCAAACTTGACTAAACTTTTCCTAATAGGGATTGGAGAGTGTGTCTTTATAATGTGTCCATTAAAGTAATTCAGGACACCTTAGTGTGTCCTAAAGACATTGGTTTTCAGAATGTCCTGAGCTTGTTTTATCCTTTTTGTTTTTTAACGAACAGCAAAAACAGGGATTTATTATAAAAGGAAATGGAAGGTGCTTCATATATGTTCAAGAAACTCAAGTACATGTTTATATAGATGACTCTGTGTGTTTGTGAGTGTGTGTGTGTTGGTGTGTGTGTGAAGGCTAGACTTTTGCTAGTAAGAAGGAATGAGAAAATCTTCCTGCTCTTCCTTTTCATACTGAAATATAGTCCTTAAGATTTACTGGTATGCTGTGGCCCAAACAACACTAGGATATTTTTATTTTATTCGTTCTCTGCAAATAAATGAGAAACTCGGATAAAAAATGGAAATTTTTTCTTCATTTATAAACAGCTGTTGTATATTTTCTTTGTATCCAGCTACTAAAGTGTTAGAAGAAAAATGAACCTTTCATGGAAGTCTAAATATTAATATTTTTAAGGCATCTAAATCTTAACAGTCATAGGAAAATGTGAACACTGCCACTAAACTATTACCTTTACCTTGATTTAGAGGATACTTGCCAGACACCTAAAAATGTTCTATTTTCTTTATTTTTCTTATCTTTTTTAACTGACTAGTTGATAGCATTGTGTGTATATCTCAGAAGTTACAAATGGCATTATTTTCTTCACTGTCAATGATAAAAGGTACACAACTGTATGCCAAAGATATATAATATCAAGAGCTAGGCAGACTCCCTGAAATGAGTTGTAACATTTTACATATTCTTCTGGGGATGACTTTCTGAAGATCAGCTGTTGGCGTCTATCAAAGTCTTAAAAACATTTCAGGAAAGATTGCTGAGGGTAGCAGTGAAGTTGGATGTTTGCTAGGAAATTATGAAAACAAATGTGACTCAGAGAGGTCATTTCACATTTTATCTTAATATCCTCTCTTTACTAAACCTGTGTTTGGATAAGTTGGTCAATCATCCAAGGATCTTCTCTGCTTTCTTTACAGTTGACATTGGGTCAATTTTCTAAGGAAAACCCCTTGACAAATAAAGCTTCTTCATTAGGGATCAAGAGGAAAAATAACTCTTCTCTTTCAAAAGAAAATCTGAACCATTTTTTTAGCATGGTCCGATGTTCTATTTCCTATATTTAGAAACTGAATAAGGGTCTAGTAATCTTGTCTCAGAGTCATAGAAACAAAAATACAATTATTAGGTTTAACTATACTCAATCTATTTGTTATTTTTAAACATTTTTGCTGTAAGTTTATATATTTATATACATATATAACACATATATGTATACAATTTTCTTTGTTAAAAATAATAATTGACAAAGACTGGCATTTGAGACATGAGTGGTTGAGTCGTTTAATTGCCATACAAATAAAATGCTGACAGATTTCAAACAAAAAATACAGTATGTACCTTAAATAATGCCTCAGAATTGTATAATTTAAACTGACCAAAAACCTTACTTACACTTAAAATTCTCCTTAGGGGAGCCTTTTCAGCATTTATGAACATCAAAGAAAAACGTGTCTTGTAAAAGCACAATGAAATTCAGAAAATACACATTTTTTAAAAATACACATTTTAGTGGCAATCACAAATTTGGATACAAAAACATACATAAAATATGTTAATGCAAGAACTTTTTCCTACTCTTTGAAAACTGTAACCTTGTGCTATTTATAAAGTAGATATTTTCCAGGTATGAAAGTATAATTTGGAAACCAACGTGTCGTTTAGATCTATTTCTTTCATATAGCTATACTATGAGTTGTGAACATTCCATTTCTTACTGGGCCAGTATTCTCTGGGAATTTTTATAATGCTATCATAGAAAACCCTTTCTGTATAATAATGATATAAAATGAAACAAACGTTTGCAAATTATAATATATGATGCAGTAGGGAAAGCACCTGTATTTTTAGATGTTCTAATAGCATACTTCCTGTCAATATTTGCCAATTTGTCAACAAGTTTATGACAAAGAACATGATACCACGATTAACACTGAAAACAGTACATCCAGTGTCATATAACAATTGAAGGAGACAGTGTGTAATTCTCTTCCTTTTCCTTGGCAATACATCCATCAATATAGTAATGGTACCATACTACTGAGTAACAGAGTTCACACTTAAACTTTATAATATTTATTATTGGATCTACTGATAAAATGATTTACCGTTTTGTACAAATTCAGCTGATTTGGATGAGTTTCTTGTAGGATTTAATATTAATTTTAGAATAATTTTATCCTGTTTCTTTCGATTCATGATCCCAATCTTTCTAGATCTTGTTTCTGTCATTCCATGTCTTATTACACCTTCCCAGCTTTGTGTTTCAACAAATTTTATATTCATGCCTTTTGTCTTCATGGGAGACAAAACAGAAGGTTCATGCAGACTTGATTTTGACACCCAGTTCTGCATTACTAGCCTCCAGATATGAGGAAATTTACTTAACCTTCTTGAAACTCAGTTTCTACATCTGTGAATAGGAATAATTTTACCTCGTAGGTTTTTAAAGGTAGCAATTTTACATTGTAGCTCCTTATAGAGGTGGAATTGAGATAACATAAACTAAGCACACAGTAAATATTGGTTTCCTTTTTATCCATGTCATGTATATGTAACAGAATATGACCCTGGAAAACATTACCAGAGGCCTTCATCCTAATCAATAACAATTATAAGATTTACTGCCCTTTAAAAATGTTACTCAGCCTACCTTTTTATATTTTGTCCGGAGAATGTCATGTGGAATTATATAAACACTTTTCTAAAATCAACATATATTCCTGTCATTCTAATTTATCACTCTAGAAACCTTTTCAAAAATATCAAAATTGCTCCTAGTGCTCTCATTACAAATAATAATATTCATTTCTGTTTTAAGAAACCTCAATCCATTTACATTGAAAAACAAAGAAACATAAAGTCATTTTCTAATTTCCAAGATTTTGTTTAGAATTTACCTTAAGCTCAGAGATGCAGTCTTCAGAATCATTTTACTTTTTTTATTTTTATTTTTTTAATGCCAGGGTCCGGCTCTCTGGCATCTTTTCTATCATTGGCAAAAGTTATCAATGCACTGACCTATAAATTACCTTGGCAGTGATGTTTGAAACAGATATCTTATCTCCTAGTCTACTTTGAGTTTAATTGTTGAGTTTTCCATTGCTTTGAATTTCTTTGTTCAGATTGAGGTTATTCTTTTTAGGAAGAAAAAGACCAAAACAAAATTCAATGTGATTAGTTATTGCCATTTATTTTTTGTTTGCTTTTAAACTTTTTTTTTTAACCCAGAGGATATATCTTTTATTATATTTTTGGCATGCTTTGAAATGATTTCATTATTGCATATGTGCATGTGTGTATCTACATATGGTTAATCTCTCAATCTGTGTGTATGTATATATACGTATGTGTATGTATGTGTATATATGTATACATACTTGAATATTATGTGAATATGTGTGTATATATTATATATATGCATGTATACATGTATGTATTTGTATATGTGTTGTATAAGTGTGTCTGTGTGTGTGAGAGAGAGAGACAGAAGGATAGGCACCATTTCCATTATTTTTTAGCCTTTGCACCTCTACTTATTCTTGGATTTTTCTGACACACTGTCCTCCTGGTTGTGTTCCTCTTCTGAACTTTTGCTTTCATGTTCTCCCTCACATATTTTATACATAACATCCTCTGAAAAGCATA